CAGACAACCTCTCGTCAATATGCGTTTTTCGCATTGCATTGCTGCAAAAAACGCATAAAAATAGAGGTGTACCCGTCATGTAAAGTTGCAGGCTGCGGGAAGCAGCACTGTGAAATAGTCATCGACTGTGTAAGTCCAGTCGAGCTTATTTGCCCTCAGCTTCACCTTAGCATAAGTTTCAGTAAATCCTGTCGATCTTATTTGTTCTCAGTTTCACCTATACATAAACCTCATAAATGCGGGAACAGCAAGAACTGAAGACTGGTTTTTGTAAGACGAATCCTACTCGCATAAGCTCAGTTTTTGTTTGCATTTGCTTTTGATTACAGGTTCTAATTCTTTGATTTTGCTTTTTTCCTTTTATTTACAAAATCAGGTTTGTTTTAATTTACTTTTCTTTCTAGTGTCGTGCTGTTTTATCTTCCTCTTTACTGCTATCTGCAGTTCTTGCTTTGAACTCCTGACTAGAACCCTTCTTCCCCTCCTGTATCCTGTCCCCAGTCCCTGCCTCCAAAGCCGCATCGGGGCACCTACCACCTCCAACCACTGTCAGGCTTTATCGTCCTGGACTCCTAGCCAGCGGCTTCATTCTTCCCCATTATCCTGGTCTCAGTCGCGCCCTCTGAGCTGTATCAAAGCAACTACCAACTAACATCCCCAACCACGTCCAATCCTCCCACCCATCATCCCCTCCCGTCCCAGCCACGCGATCCAGCAGCCAGACACTGGGCAGCGCTACCCAGCGCGCATGGCAATGTTCCAGCAAGCGGCGCCGCGCAATAGTATCAGCAGAGATGATAGAGCAAGGTACTGGAGGGCCCAAACACAGTAGGTTATAAACCGAGCTGAGCCAAGCCGAGTTTTTGTAACTGTCCCTCAAATGCACCGCGGTCCGAACAGCTGCGAGACACTTTCCTTCTCTCTGCAACTTCTTTCTTTGCAACCTACGATCTCTTCACTGTTCATCTAATTTCGTTTGTTCGTTTTTCAAGTTCATGAATTTCCAGCTCCAGTGAAACTTTTTGATTCCGGTAATACTCAAAATGTTTTTTAAAACGTTCTATTATTTCTGGTGTTTTCCTTTCCAGATTTAGCAGTGTTTAATCAAACCATGAACAACTGTGTAAAGTGATTTTCAAATCAAATTACAGGAGAGACCGCTATAAGTTCTAAAGCACTCAGCAGGTTAAATCCTATTGAACTTTCATTCCGTAAAGAAACCTTGATGAAAGCACTGAGTGTATCGGATGCACCAGTTACCAGACATGCGAAAAACATATCCACAGTATTCCATTTTCTACTCCTCTACAGTCCCTACCTATTCTGATCTAACGTATTTAAATGTACTTATTCTCTAAATAGCGGGCAGAAGGCTGTACTGATGATTCCTGCTCCCACTGCTCTCACTATTTTTTGTTTAATAGCTGAGGGATGAAACACAGGCGACCAACGGATCTGTTCCTTCCCTACATTTTCGAATTTAATCCTTGCTGATCTTTTTATGCGTTTTTGCTGTGCA